CCAAATAACGGGCTTGTGATTACCTATTCAAAACTGAAAAAATTTTGGAGCTATCTTCTAAAACAAAAAAGTTAGAGCCATTTGAAATATAGAGGCCGGCCTCGAAATCTCGAATTATCGGAAACTTTCCGGAGCCATATCTCCGGCCTCGGAGGTCTCAGAACGCTCATCTTCGGGTTCCGACATTTTTTTCCATATCCCAAATTGTATGCAAAATTTCAGCAAAATCTGTGACATGCCGTCCATCAGGTGGCTGACTTGACATGGAATGACCCAAATGCTAGTTTCTTTTCCAATACTGGCGTCGCTAGTTCAACCATTTTTATTTACGCTTAACAAACACACCTACGTAACATGAAAATTATAAAGGTAGTACATGACTTCTAATTGACTCCTAACTTAAATTGACTTCTAACTTCTAATTGACTCCTAACTTCTATTGACTCCTAACTTTTATTGACTTCTAACTTCTATTGACTCCTAACTTCTATTGACTTCAAACTTCTATTGACTCCTAACTTCTATTGACTCCTAACTTCTATTGACTCCTAACTTCTATTGACTCCTAACTTCTATTGACTCCTAACTTCTATTGACTCCTAACTTCTATTGACTCCTAACTTCTATTGACTCCTAACTTCTATTGACTTCTAACTTATATTGACTTCTAACTTTTATTGACTCCTAACTTCTATTGACTCCTAACTTCCATTGACTCCTAACTTATATTGACTCCTAACTTATATTGACTTCTAACTTCTAATTGACTCCAAACTTCTAATTGACTCCAAACTTCTAATTGACTCCAAACTTCTAATTGACTCCAAACATCTACATGATCCTGACTTCTAATTGACTTCTGACTATTAATTAACTTCCAATCGACGCCTAACTTCTTATTGACTCCTGATTTTAAAATGACTTTTAATTGACTCCTGACTTTTAATTGACTTCTAATTGACTCCTAGCTTCTAAATGGCTCTTAACTTCTAAATGACTTCTAATTGACTCGATAACAAACTTCTAAATGACTCCTAACTTCTAATTGACTCCTAACTTCTATTGACTCCTAACTTCTATTGACTCCTAACTTGTATTGACTTCTAACTTCTAACTGACTCCAAACTTCTAAATGACTCCTGACAAATATTGACTTCTATTATTATCTAGGAGTTGGTAACGGATGGCAACCAGCATGTTAAATCTGCTCTAGCTTCAGTTATTATGGGACTCTCACCTATTCTAGGTTTGTAAATCAATCAATCAATCAATCAATCAATCAGTCAATCCATTAAATCAATTAAATAAATTAAATCAATCAACTAAAATAAAACCGTAAATATACAAACGAGCAGATATTTCAAACGATTAAAACTGAAAGTGATTAAATGTTTTTTCAATGATTACATATCTTATCAAAGTTTTATTTTTTCCTTTTAAGTTTTTTATCAGTCCAGTACTGCCATTGGAACTACACGTTGTGCTTCTTTCCAGAGTAACTTATTTTCATGTTTGTAATAATTAAATCATTAAAGAGATTGAAAGCTTAATTTAAAATTAACCTCCATGCAAAGATGGCAATGTCCGATTCACAATGGTACCATGAAGGCCCTATCTGATAAAAAATGTGGAAGATGTTGTTCAAGTGAACCTCCATGCAAAGATGGCAATGTGTTTGTTTTTATCTTTGTGAAAAAACAATCTCAAGAACTGACGAGGGTCAACCCAGACCGAAATATATTTTCAATAAATGTGGAACAACTACTCTACAGAGGTTTGGTCTATCGCCATCACCTAGTTTTTAAATGTGAAAGATATTGTTCAAGTGAACCTCCATGCAAAAATGGCAATGTGGAAGATATTGTTTAAGTGAACCTCCATGCAAAGATGGCAATGTGGAAGATATTGTTCAAGTGAACCTCCATGCTAAGATGGCAATGTGAAAGATATTGTTCAAGTGAACCTCCATGCAAAGATGGCAATGTGAAAGATATTGTTCAAGTAAACCTCCATGCTAAGATGGCAATGTGAAAGATATTGTTCAAGTGAACCTCCATGCAAAGATGGCAATGTGAAAGAAATTGTTCAAGTGAACCTCCATGCAAAGATGGCAATGTGAAAGATATTGTTCAAGTGAATCTCCATGCAAAGATGGCAATGTGGAAGATATTGAAGGTTTTCCTGAAGTAGAAAGTAGCTGTGTAGAGAACCTAAAACTGAAAATAATTAGCGTTTCCAAATTTTAGACATCGATACCAAATTCATACTTGATCCGACAAAGCTTTCAGAGTACTGTTGTGAATCGGGCATTGTCATCTTAGCATTGAGGGTCACTTGAGTAAAGAACTTAAAAAATATTTTTAGGAAAGCAGAATACTATTGAACATCTACTCCCACTGTTTCTTACTCAGTTGAAGGATGAATATCCAGAGGTAAAACTCCTCCTTCCTCAATCTGATTATTCCCCCCTCCCTCCCCCCACTACATCTTCTTATTTTGATCTATCTCGAATTATTATACAGTAAAGTGGTGATACACGTGTAAGATGTAAGTAACCTAGAGAAGGGAGGGAACCTTCGGACGCCTTGAGCCTCAGCCATGCAGACACCAGCCTCCCAGATTGGCTAGGCGGTCTGCCTCCGTCATGCAGTAAGAGCCTCTGCTACGCAGTAAACGAGCCTCCGCTAATAATAATAATAATACAGCACAGCTTCCTTAACTCTTGGTTTTTACATGTAATATAGATTTGTTTTCAACATAGTGACATAAGAATGGTTCTTAAGATTAATGTTGTTTATTGATTGTCATGATTTGTAACTTATATTGACCCATAACGTTGTTTATAACATTTATGATTTACATTAAAACATTTCTTACGCAGTAAGGAGGCTATTTGGAAATTCATTTTTTAATTGAACTTAGTTTATTTTGTTTTAATCTTTGATTTATGCAATTCCTTTTTTTGAAAATTTATTTATATTTAGATTATTTGTCATGTCAAACTTTTGATAATCTTAATATGATGAAAATTTCAAAAAAAGGGATCGCTTAAATCATAGATTATTTTGATCTAAGAACCTTAGGATTCGACTGATCGAGGCATATTGGCCACGCCCCTATTCTCCACACTTATAGAACGTCCGGTTCTAATCTGAGACCTCATGTATATTATCTGCAACAGATAGCACATGAGATCTTGTTCCCGCTGAGGCAGGTCTTGCACAGATTGAAAATCTGGTATAAGCATCTATCAATGTCAATATAGAATACTTATTTAAGATCAATCTGAATATCAACAAAGAACAAAATATAAATAAATGATAAAATGACAAAGATGCTTTCTAGGTGGTTCTATTGGCAATTTATATAATCAATGGAGTTCAAGCTCATTGTATAATATCTGAAATGGTAAACATCTCAGATATGATTCTCATACAAAGATTGAACAATACATGATACACAAATAAAGCCACCAGGATCACATATGTGGTGGCAAGGTTTCCTCTCAACACTGTTCCATAGTCCTTAACAAAAAATGCTTGACAATGAGCAATCTTAGCTCAACAGATTATAAAATATCAAATAAGATTACTTTCAGAATTTATTCTCTAAATGTTTTCCTTTTTGCGTAAAATATTTTCTGAGTTTTATAAACCATTTTACTAGGTCATTATTAGTCACTATATAAGGATTCATAAGGAAGTAAGTCTGCAAGAGGCCCCAATACTTCTGATCTTTGAGAAACTTTTTATGCCACTATGTTGAAAAAATGAAATTTACATTTAAAAACCTAGAGTAATAAGGAACCTGTGCTGTAAAATGGAGGCTCGTTAACTGCATAGCAGAGGCTCCGTCTGCCTCGCAAATCTAGGAGGCTCGTGTCTGCACAGCAGAGGCTCATGTCTTCTGGGGGTACCCCGGCTGTACATGAAACTCTACACTGTACATATCTAGGTTCGGTTGAATATTATCTCCAACATGGATTTTGTACCCTCCCCATCCCCCGGCTGCACATGAAACTCTACAGTGTACATATCTAGGTTCGGTTGAATATTATCTCCAACATGTATTTTGTACCCTCCCCATCCCCCGGCTGTACATGAAACTCTACACTGTACATATCTATTATCTAGGTTCGGTTGAATATTATTTCCAACAGGATTTTGTACCCTCCCCATCCAACCGCTATACATGAAACTCTACACTGTACATATCTAGGTTCGGTTGAATATAATCTCCAATTTGGATTGTGTGAATGAAGTGATTGGAATCCAACAACTCAGCCAGTCCCTCCTACCCGCAATTGTGGAGCTAGCAGAGGTAAACTGCCCCCTCCCTACCCTCCAATTACATTTTTTTAAAATTTTATTTTTCCTCTTATCCAGGGAACAAATTCTTTTGAATAAACATTTATATCCACCTTGAAAAATCATGTTTTTCATCACGTGATTTGGATTTGAGACTCCTATAGGTATTTTTTATCTTAAGTGTCCTTATCCCAGAAAGTGATCCTTTAATATATTTACAATTTGCATGCTTTAAAACACTATGTAATATTTAATTGCAGGATACGAAGTGGCGTGTAAGGCTGGCCATTATTGAGTACATGCCTCTCCTTGCAGGTCAACTAGGTGAGCAATATCTTCCTTTAAACCTTGTTACCAAAAATTACAATTAAATAGAGCGCAGATTTCTTTTAACTAACAGGGCGCTATAAAAAAGTTTTATTCTTACAAATAAAGCCTTAAAGGCTGGGAATATATTTTGACCATTTTCGGAAACTTGCAACATTTTAAAAGTCTTTGTTTTTACATTTTCAAATTCTTATCTTGTGACAATTCGCGCTCTTTAAAAATAATCTTAAAATTTTCAGGATAAAATGGTTCTCACTGATTCCCCATAAATTAAATTTTTAATCCAGGGGTTGAGTTCTTTGATGAAAAATTGAACTCGCTGTGCATGACCTGGCTGATCGACCACGTGTATGCGATCAGGGAGGCCGCCACCAACAACCTCAAGAAGTTAGTCGAGAAGTTCGGGGCAGAGTGGGCTCAGCAAACAGTCATTCCAAAGGTTTGTCAGAGTTTTTTACATTTTGCACTTTTATTTGTCAATTTTTCACCTTTTTTTCCATTTTCTTTACACTCGATCGATAGTGGACTTTGGTGTTATTGTAGTAGCCTTTGATTCAAAATCGCATATATTGATATGGAAATTGGTTGTAAAGATATGGCCACAAACTGAATGGGTAAAGTTCGCGCACCAGCGACGTTTGTTTCAACTGTCCATGATCCTCTCAGGCCCGCATACTTGGTGGAATCTACTCAATTATTAAACCCTGGCCTATTTGTGTAATGGGTAGGGTTTCCAGTATTAAATCTTTTCGCGAAAATTTCCCATTTTTCGAGAATTTCGCGAAAAAAATAATTCATAAATTTCGTGAAAAATGCAAAAACTTCGCGAAAAAATGGGAACTTTGTCAACAAATTTCGCGAAGAATACAGAATTTTCAAAAACAAATGCAAAATTCAAACATTTATTAAAGTAAAGGAAGAAAAATTATTTATAAGACTTCAAATACTGAGCTATCAGCGCAGAGAATTCCATACGTTCTTTTTTGGAATTAATTGTTGCAGCTATAAAACTCATGGTTTTCACAAAGTTTACTCATTTCGCGAAATTTCGCTTTATTTGTTTTCGCGAAAAAATGTGAAATTTCGCGAAAAATTTTGCGAAATGCGACCGAAAATTTTCGCATTTTATCGCGAAATGTTTCATTCGTTGGAAACCCTAGTAATGGGACATTTCCGTCATCTTTGTTCTTGCCTTTTGCTTTTCTTCAGTTGTTCAGTTTATTGATTCGGTCTGTTATTTTATTTCTGTTTATTATGTTAAGGTTAAATATTTGTTACTGTTCAATGTTCAAATTATGCTTTGGAACTTTTTCAAATAATTTCAGTTTGTTATGTTTCACGTGTTCAGATTTAGGTTATTGCTGTGTCACGTGTTTAGGTTATTGCTCTGTCATGGATTTAGGTTATTGCTAAGTAATATGTTTAGGCTATTTCTACGTCACGTTTTAGGCAATTGCTTTGTTCACGTTTTTAGATTATTCCCATGTACCGTTTAGGTTATTGCTATGTCACGTGACCAAAACTACCTGCATAGGATGACCTGTCTCTTCTGTATTAATGTGCTCTCCCAGGTACATAATCCGAATTCAAGTTGTGATAAGTATTTTTACATCTGCTTAAAGTTACCTTCCAGTTGTATTGTGACATATCTGATTCAAAATTCTATCTCAGCAACATTTTCTGTTTAAAATTTAAAATTTCAAATGTCTCTACTGCATTGTCTTTGTAGCAAAAATCCTTAAGCCACTCAAAACCGAGGATCCACAATCTTGCAGTTGTCAATCACGTGACACAAGCTGTCGTCAGAGTTGGGTCGAAGATTGGGTCTTAAAGTCGGGTTTAAGGAATCACGGCTCGATCCAAAGTTTATAAATCGCGGGCTCTGGTGTGAATGGGATGACAGTCAGGCCAATCTATAAATAGAAAATTAAAATTAAGATTAAGTTCAGAGTCCCTGTAATATTATTTTGTAACAAGAATTAGAACTTTTTAATCTTTGCAGTGAAGTGTCGGTGCTTAGGTAGGATCCATTTAATTCTAATGTGGACCCTGGATCCGCACTAAAAAGATATGGATCCGGGTCTGAGTCCAGGTCATGAACATTTCTTTCAAGAACATTAATTTATATCTAGTATGTATTTTAACTTTTGATAATTTTTCGATTTTCAACGTGAAGATTTGTACTTGTATTTTAGTCATGTGGGGCTGAGGTGACTGAACGTCTCCTTCTCCCAACTGTCCTCTCCATGGCGGGGGATGGTGTGGCTAATGTCAGGTAAACATTAAGCCAGTCCAAGGGGTGTATATTTATTTTAGAAAATCTCCCCCCTTTCTTGCAAATGATCCCACTATTTCTTCGGTCAGTGAGCTGCAGATTACTTCAGTACAAACCGAAAGCTCAGTTAAGGGTGCCGCGCCGTCGCCGTTTAGAAATTTTGTGAGATTAAATTATTTTTTGAGTAAATGGTTTAAACAGGGAAAATCTACCAAGTTAAAGTCCCATTTTTTGTACATGATTGTTTACCAGATAAACCATTGTATAAAAGATATAAATTAGTCAGAAATAATTTGTAATTTAGGTTTAATGTTGCAAAGACTCTTCAACAGATTGCTATGGTTCTACCTTCAGATACCACCCAGGTAAGAGGGAGTAGTACTGTACACTGTACAGTGTATGGTATAGCGTATTGTACAGGGATACAACACATATTCCCCCGGGGGTGGGGGGGCATTCATATACAGGAACAAATAATTTTTTTTTTTGTAAAATACGTTTTATGCTAATATATTATTATAGTATTAATGTAATTTTAACCTAATATATTTGAAAAAAGTTTTCGTAAACTAGAGCTTGTTTATATAAAGTTTAATGTGGTATTCGTTGTAATTAAGAGAGAGCGCAGCACAATGAAAGCATCTGATGTTAACAATTTGATTTTAACTCATTTAAAAATGTATTGATTTTCTCCTGAATCAGAAAACCTTGTTTCATTATAATGCGTTCCACCATGCTAGCATCATCATTCCTTCATCGTATTAAAGAGTTCTAGGATAATAATCCTTTTTTTTTAGGCCCAAGTGAAGCCGACCATTGATAAACTGAACACAGATTCAGATTTTGATGTTCGTTACTATGCATCTGAGGCCGCAATGGGTAAGTAGTATTTAGATCACTTACTCACAT